CACTGACTGGTACATAATCCCCTTTCATTTTCGTCAAAATTTCATTATTTGCTGTTTTGACACCAACTGGTTGAATGTGAATTGCAGCACAAGTATGAAAATATCTAATCTGTACAGTGTACACTTTGAATGTTGTCACTAAAATGTGTTTAACAATGAAAAAAACCGCATTATGGAATTAACTTCCATGGCCCGGAACCCCTACGAATATTAATAAAGATTGCATAGAAATTATTAGTGATACTGATGACAGATCACAAATACATCACCTTCGAGAGAACATCATCATATTTCGTCTTTGCAGCAGTTTTAGCCACATCCACATTCTTCCCCATGTTACGAAAATATTACTGTAAATCATCAACAACAATTCAGCAGCTCCAATAAAGAAAACTATAATTCATAATTTACAGCATTTCGTCTCTGATTTCATTTTATTTTTTACTGATCGATGTTTGGAACTTAGCACTATTTTCCATCCAGCAAACTGACCTGACGTCATTTTCGGAAGAGGTGTTATACGGCTATGTAACTAACCCAAACCCTACCCCTACTCTAACCCCTAACCCTAAACGCAACCCTAACTGTGACCTTAACCAAATTAATAACAAAAATCCAAAAAGAAACAACTTTCTAAAATCGCTAGGGCGGTTTGCTGGATGGAAAATAGTACTAACCTTATCATCATCGATTCGATACTCGCCTCCAGGTCCCTCAGCGCAAACTTTAATTTTTGACATGCAGGGAAAACAGGGAACCCAACGTCGTTTAAAGTAACAGTCCAATAGTTGCCGAATGAGCACAGACGGTTAAAATTCGGTTTAAAATTTTAAAAACCCATTATATTACCATCAAATTGCTCTGGCAATTGTCTTTGTAGCATGCAACAAGTATTGAATAACAGCATGCGAGGCTCACGCCGCAATCTTGCGCTGTAAATGCGTCTTGAATCGTACGCATTTATTCAAGTTATTGAGGCAGCTGATTTAGTAACACTTTTCGCTAGACGTGATAAACTCTCTAAGGACTTATTTGAGATGATAGCCAGCGATACAGATCATAAGCTGGCTTCACGTCTTCCGCTGAAGGCTTCCGACACCATAAATCTGCGTAGGATGAGAGACTATCAAATTCCAAAATTTAGAACTAATAGATTTAAGAACTCTTTTATAATTAGTCATGCTATCGAACGTTATAGAAGTTAGTTATATTGAACATTATTTGGTAAATAGTAGATGTAGTATATTGTAAAATTCTTAGCACGTAATTCAGCCTTTGGCTGCTAGGTGATTTTTATTGGAATAAACGATTTATCTATCTTATCTATCTATTCAACCAAAAAGTACGTGAACCAATATCCTCCGTTGCCCGCATTGCTGCAGAGTATCGATCTGGTTGATCATGTAATATGTCTGAAGAACGCATTTTGTAATATGAAGTATGCACTCAACCCTAAATTAGCCCTAAACGATATATCCATAGTGGTACTTACGTATACCCCCCCCCCCCCGATTTAGCCTGCGTAGCTGGCGGTTTTAAGGGTTGAGGCGCGGGCACAGGCTACTAGAGGTGTGCAAATCCGATCCGATTCGTTCGGATTTCGGAACAACAATATACATTTCGGATCGGATTGATAAACTTGTTTCGTAGTCGGATGGAACTTCGATATTCGAAATAAAATGAATTAATTATCCATGCATTTATCAAAGCATTATCGCGATTGTCGCTGCATTTTTCGTTTGATACTTCAATTGCTGCACTTTGTCAGCTTCTTGACATCAATTTCTTGTTTTTATATTTATTTGGTTAAACATTTCAACTTGAATGAGAAATTTATTTTGTTAAAGGATTCTTCGGATCGGATTGGAATTCTTTATCACAACTCGGATCGGATTAGACAATTTCGGATCGGATTTTAAACATTAGCCAATGGACCATTTGCATTATAGACTAAATTTTGATCTAGACAAAAATTTCATCACAGCTTGAAAGAGCATCACAAAATTAGTAATATTCCAAAGTTTCGTTACGAAATGTTGTAAAATGCGGATATAGCCTTGCGAAGTTTGCAATTTTCAGTCATTTTAGATTACAAACGGGAAATTGATGCCCCAACACCCGATTGGGCTGTCAATTTCCCGTGCGTAATACAAAATGACTGAAAAACGACAAACTTCGCATGGCTATATTATATGCATTTTACAACATTTCGCAACGAAACTTTGGAATATTACTAATTTTGTGATGCTCTTTCAAGCTGTGATGAAATTTTTGTTTAGATCAAAATTTAGTCTATAATGCAAATGGTCCATTGTCGGATTATAAACGTCCAATCTGACAGCACCTCTACAGGCTATCCTCGATTTTGATTGGTTTACTTTTACAATAAATGTAGAAGTAGTTACAATAACTTCGAATTCAACAACCTTTTTCACTTTTTGTACAACCAAACTCTAGACTTTAGATTTAATTGATGCAAAATAACTTTACAAGGATTGAACTAAATAACCATTATGAACCAATTGTTTTAATAAATCATATTGTATTATTGACTTCAAATTTCACAGTTACGTATACAGCTATTACTATAAGTGGATAACTGAATTCAGACTTCGGATCTCTGAGTCCACACTTCGAATTTATCGGGTTGTACTAATGCATTCACAGAATTTGGATTAATGCATCCACATAATTGAAATTGGGATCTTTGACCTGTACATTTTACGAGCGCTTATGCACGAGAAATCATGCTGTCGGTCCACATCAACAGTAGACAGATTTAGATCGAGGACGCGGACGTCAAAGACGACGTGAAAATGGCGTGTTGTGCCCATGTATGGATATGCCATGCCATCTAATAGCCCACCGCTATGGTATTAAAAAAGCAGCCGGAACACAAATTTCGTTGTACCTACTCAGATATTTAAAAACGCAACGTTACATCATTAGGTGATCATTTGAAATCTAGGTCTGGTTGAAACGCATCACCCCCGAGAGATTTGACGGGACCAAGGGCAATTTTTCCCTGGGCCTGGGGGCCTATGATCTAAATTTTAAAACAATGGTAATAGTGTTGAATTAGGGCCCCCCAGAGGGGACTCTATATGCAGAGCATTGAATTCAAAACTCCTGTTGGAACGTCGAAAGTGCATGCATATATGACAAGTTCGAACGGTTAAACCAATTAGCCTTTCTGACGGGGGCCAATATCCGCCATTTTGTCTTCCCACGTTAGAGAATCTAGACAATCTAAACAATGTGAAAAGTGACTTTTCAAAGTCGTAACTGTAAATTTACCATTATACACATTTCGCGGTGCGTACACTCTCAGACGTGGGAGAGGCAATACCCCCAAAATTGCGGATAGTTTGAGCATGAGAAAGGCTAATTAGAGAGTTTTGATTAGTTACAGAGGAACTGTAACCTTTCCAAAAGTCTATATTTCTCGGAGTTCTTTGTTTATGTTCCCTCTAACACATTTCGCCCAACATATCCTAATCCCCCACAAACATATCCGCCCCAACAGATAGAATAAAAAGAATTGTTTTGAAAGTTTTAGGACGTTTAATTCTTGACATTAACACACGAAAATTTACAGTACTTTACAAAACGGTCACGAACAAATCTACTTTCCATCACTCAGGAAGATCAATTACTAAATCGTCATCACCTTCATAGATGTTGTTATGGTAACTGTGCGACTCCGTTGATCCTTCGTTTTCACTACATGATCGAAGGAAAAAAATCGTGAACGTGGACATCCATAAAAAATGGAAGATTTCGGAATTTTTCATTTGTATCTGACTTGTGTAAAAATTTAATATTTAACCGAAACAGATAATATTCGTCCACAAATTCTACACTAAAAAGCCAATCTTCCATTTCTTTTTAAATGTGGGGAGCCACCTTGAAAGCTAACCTACATCATTAACCCAAAAGCGAGTTAGGATCTATAATGTAAGCCACATTGAAGGTAAATATCAGGATTTGGGGTATCTACACTCTTTATAACTGATTGTAGATAGATCGAGCGTTAATTTTATACATTTATTACACATAACCAACTATAGGCCCTCTGGCAGGAATCGAAGCGGAATCACAGGAATTCCCCAACAGTTGCCGCAACTGCTCCAGATTAGGTTTAATAAATGTATAAAATTCACACTTCAAAATTTTCATCTACAAAACCCACCTTTAAAGGGGATGTCTAGTAATTTCACATAGCGTATTTCTTCCACAGTATTTAGTCCCAGCCTCTATTTAGCCCCGCGCCTGTCTAATTAGCTCCAGTCTAGAAGCACTGACTGAGAAAATAAGCCCCAATGCACTCCCTATTTCCCCCCATCCTCCATTGCGCCCCCATCCTCCATTAACAAAATCAATTCTAGTCTTCTCTGCAATAAACACTTCTGACTGACTTTCATATTATCGTGGATGCTAGAGTATATGTTGTGTTTTTCCTATGACATTGCTTGTTTATTTAGTTTCATATACATACCCCCTTAAATAATTGAAGAGTATGTACATGTAATACCTCGTTGGGTCATCATCATCCATACTAAAAACGTCTTGAGGTAAAGCAGTAGATGTCGTCGGAAATTCATTTGGTTCTTGATTCCGTAATAAGTGAAGGTCGTTAAGCCGAGCCTAATTTCAAGAGTGGAAACATTTTAATTATTTATATCTACTGTATTTATCAGTTTCGCCGATCATACAAAAATCTAAAATGCTAAATTACAGTACATCTTGTATAGCTAAAGAGTAAGAAGGAGACGTTATTAAAATATAACAAACTGAACTAATATAATAGTAATTACAGTAGTATAAATTGTGCAGACCAAATGAGCTTTCGCGTATTCTGATTGGCTAGTTGACTAGTAAATAGTATAGTAAATAATGCTTTTCAAAAGGAATGATTCGGCAAATTTGGTTTAAAAATCGACGAACTGATATTGAAAACATCGTCCCCAGAAAACGAAAGAAGCACAAAATTTTGTGTAACTTGAAAGGTAGGATTCCTTTATCATTTTATTGTGTCAACTGTCAAACATATTCAAGGATAGTTTTTAATCCTACCTTTCAAGTTAAACCATAGTCTTTCAAAACATGGTTTGGAAACTCCGCTAAAGTCTTTCTGTTCGCGTTTATGCAGTTTTGGGCACGGTCAATATAAACACATTGTATTTCAGTATAATGAACGAATCATCCAATAGCAACGTTTCAGTTCAGTCATTCAACCATGCTATTTAAATATTAATAAGCCTAAAACAAAGGATGTGCACGGTGTAAGGTACGGCTCAACATAAAATCCCAGTTCATTATAACTGCTTTGAAGTTTACTGAGTTTCCAGACCATGTCTCGAAAGACTATGGATTTCAACAACGCATGCAGCTGACTTACAAGATCTGTCTCGTGTTGATCAGTTGACCGTGGAAGAAGATGCGTAGGCTTCCCAGAATTGTCTAAAGTCCAAGAAAAATTACAAAATATTATTACATGAATAGGGCCGGTTAGTTAGGAGGCAGGCTTTTAGCCAAAACTGGCCGTTCAAAAAATTACTGTGGGTGTCACAACTTGTTTTGGTGGACGTCGTGAAAATTAACAAAAATATGGCGCTTGAAATACATGAACAAACGCCAGAATACGAATCGTACACGGCAAATCGCAGCGTATGAACGTATCTTAAGTCAACTTTTGTGAACTAATTGTTACACGATTGGCAAGAACATACTAGGAGATATACTGTACATTCATGTACCCTGGGGCTAGTGACTGGCTCTAGCCGTTATTATTATTATATATTATATTTCGGCTATACAAAAAACCGATCCTGCATGCCTGAATTAAATACTCAATCAGCTATTGCTTGTGAGTTCTCAAATGGTAGAATGAAATGGAAATATTTTCAATATTGTTAGATTCTGCAATGTGATAATGTTTTGACGAAATCCATCTGATTGGTTTATTTTTATTATGCACGTCTATTTAATGCAAGTTATTTCTCTTTAAAAGCTTTACTTGTTTAGAAGTTATTACGAATCAAACAGGAGTACTTTTTTTTGGGACACCCGGTATATATATATATATATATATATATATATATATATATATATATATATATATATATACCGGGTGTCCCAAAAAAAAGTACTCCTGTTTGATTCGTAATAAATTCTAAACAAGTAAAGCTTTTAAAGAGAAATAACTTGCATTAAATATATATATAGAGATTGATTAGATTTTGATATATTACAGTTGTATTTTACTTAAAAATTCACGGAGATATTAATGTTCAAAATCGGGAGCATATTTTGGGATGTGTCTAAAATTAGCAAAAATCGGCATATCAAATATTAACTCCAGCGTTTGTTTGTTTAATGACATATCAGGCTAACTTGTATTT